TAAGAGAATAAATGTAAATAAGAGTTTTATATAGCATTCGCTTACACGTAATAGATATAGAATGAAGTATAAGTGTGAGAGAGAAAAACAGAAAATCTAAATCGGGAACCTAAAAAGAGAATACTATCAAGTTAACATATGTAGATAGCTGAAGATAGAGAGTGAACTTTATTTATGTACAATGAAAATCATCGGTTTTGTTCATTTAATAAATTGTACGACAAAGACAAATGCCAGTCTCTTCACTTGCGAGCGAATAGTGTCGTCGTTAAGATTTGGCCAAATTTTTAAGAAATAAAAGAAATACTTGTTGACAATAAAAAACAAGGGCCTATTGCAAGGACAACTAATTGTTACCTCTTTAACAATTTTATCATAATTGAAATGACTTCGCATTTTCATAAAGAGTGGTATATAGAGCAGTAGAGCGAGACAGACAAAGAGAGAGAGAGAGAGAGAGAGAGCAGAGAGAGAGAGAGAGAGAGAGAGTGATAGAGAGAGTGGGAGAGCGAGAGAGAGGAAGAGAAAGAGAGAGAGAGAGAGAGAGACAGAGAATGAGTGAGTGGAAGAGCAAAGGAGAAGAAGAGATAAAGATATACAGTAAGAGAGAAAGAGAGATATCATGGTATACGGTATGTGATAAATAAACGTTATCATCGTAAGGACGATAGATACATTCATACATCCAACGCGCACTTACCATGGTAACATCATCGATTTTTGAAATACTTCTTACGAATATGTTGACGCGTACAACAGCTGGACCATCTGTACATACAACAATATATATGTATATAACATATACGTATTTATGTATATATATTTACCCATATGTACGTATATATATATATATATATATAAATGTATGTATGTATATGTTACATACATTCATATATGTATTCATACATCCATATATACATACAGATATGTATATAAACATATGCATACTATTATAAATATATATATATATATATATACATGTATGTATACAAGTACTTACATTTATATGCATATATTCTGTATACATATGCACATATATACATATATATATATAGTATATATGCGTATGCTTATATGCGTAACGCATTTATATATATATCATTATTTTTTTCGCATAATTTCTTTTCATTTCTTTTCTTAACTTAACTAAAGAGCTACAAAAAATCATTTCTTTTAACAATAATAAAAATGTATGTATATAAGTGTATATCACTTGATTGATGAAAAACTTGTTCTTTTTCATTAATTCGCTTTCATACACATTTTTAAAAATTTTATATACTTAAATTTATAATTTAAAATATTTATTCGTATAACGTACACTACACATACATTTTAAATCTCCGATCAATATCTGTTTATATTGCAATATTTATGTGTTGCAAAAATTAGTTCGAAAAACTAAATTGAAATGAATTAAAATTACAATAAACAAATGGAAGTTAAAAAAAAAAGAAAAAATTCTTTATCATTTATATTGCAACCAGACATAGCAAGGGTGTGAAAATAATTTCATATTTTTAATTATTTATTTATTTTTTTTTTTTTTTCTATTCTTTAAATGAATTAAATAACAAATGTTGAACTAATGCAGAAACACACTAAGTAAGAATGAAAAGAAATAATGATATTATTTTTAAATAAATGACTTTAGATTCAACTCTTTTCTCTAAGCCGTCTTTCTCTTGTAAAAAAAGAAAAAAAAGGCTAATAGCGAGAAATTAGACGAAAAATAAATTTGAAAAATGTTTCTTCTTTCTTTTTTTTTTGAAAATTAAGAATTTCTTTTGTATAATAATAGAAATTTCCCTATGTAATTTTTATTAAATAAAATTCTATTTAAAATTCTTTACGAAAAAAAAAAAAAAACATACAACCATATCGCAGCTGGCTACGCCCAAAAGTCGTATACGTCATAGAATTTGTTAGACAAAAAAAATAAATACATCCATGTTGTAGAGCGTCACGCCCACAATTTACATAAGTCATAGAATCTGTTATCAAAAAAAAAAGGATAAGTTGTACAGAAGTTGTTCGGAAGTCGTATACGTTATAAAACGTGTTACCCCAAAAAAATATATATATAGATACATAAGCAAATCGAATCTGTAGAGTGTCGCGCCCGAAGTCACACAAGTCATAAAACGTGTTATCCAAATAATGCTTGGTGGCCCATCATCTGAAGAAAATTTAAAAGAAGTCTAAAATTGTCAATGATTGTAAACTTTAACATTGGTCGATTGCAGTTAACTTTACAACTAGCACAGTCAGCTATGTTAGACTTGTTAGACTGCAAAATGTCTGCAACGCATTGAAACACGGTCATCGATGATGCCATATATGTGTGTCATACTGAAAACTTACTGAGTGATGTGTACTACCACAGTTACGTCACTCTAAAACCGTCTGATAAGCACACTGCTCGTGCAGGGAACATCTGATCGTATGCGAACAAAAAAACCTTACTAGGAACAACGCTACCAACTATTTCCTTGAGGTAATATATTTCTAATAGGATAGTGTTCTTATACTCATCCCCGAAGAATGAGGGGTAAATTAAATTTGTGAAAACATTTGCAACGCCCCGAATGAAGACTCAGAGATCCCACAAAGTCCACATATTCTTGATCAGGATCAAATTCCGTCCGTCTGTCCATCTCTCCGACTGGATGGTGTCTGTGGTACTATCTAAATTTTATAAACCGTTCGTAAAGAAGCGGACATCGCCTAAGAATTTTTCAAAAGAGATTGAATGTGGCCCAAATAGATCAAACAATACGCCTACATCACACGTCACGTTTGCTTCCGTGTCAATGTAAATTTCCGTAAATTTCCATAAAATAGGAAAATAGAAAACATCAGCCTCGCCTTCCGAATATTATTATTTATGTCTTTCTTTTTTTCAATTTTTTTTATATATTCTTTTATAGGTCGAATTTAATTTTCTTAATTGTTTACTTTTTCACATTTGTTTTTTTTTTTTAGATATTAGAAAGAAGTCCTGGGCATAAAAGAGGAAGTAATTTCACTTTCAAAAGAACTACTTCCTGTAAGCGGAAGATGGGGTACAATTGAAAACATTTGTAAAACATTTAAAACATAACGTAATGTTTTTTCCTATAATTTTCAGGAAAGGGGGTTTTCAACTTACTTATAAGAAGTTGGAAGCAATCGTAAAACATTTACATAAAGAGTTTATTAAACGAATTTTATTTACTCGACAAATCTGTATATGCATAAAGAAAGGCAATATATAAAAAGGTGTCGAAATCTCTTGAAAGTGCTAGCTGAAAGCACAGTCTCTGATAAAACATGCTACAACGAATGATTAAAGAGGTTTGAAATAAGTGATTTCAAGTTTTCTGATAAGCCTCACACTTTTTTCTTTTTAATATGGCCAATCATTCAAGAGACAATAAGTTGACAGGGGAGGAGAAGAAGATAGGGAACTGTCCGCAGCCTAGTGTGAGTGGGTTATGCCTTTATCGACAGATATTCCACTGTAGTTGTCATTAACAAAAACTTTACTGCATTGAGATTTGAATCCGCGAACACAAATTAGGTAGATAGCGACTCCTACCTTTGCGGATAAATCATCTATCTATGCGAAGCGAAAGCATTTTTTGGGAACAACAGCGATTGGGGAAAGTCGTGATTCAGCGCATTACGCAAATAAGTGCTGTCGACTTTTCTGAAAGAGATAGTGGCTGTGTTGTGCCTTTACCAACTGAGCACTCATTGTGAAGCCCCAGAAGCAATCTTACAGCTTTGCCTTGATAGCGTGAACGACCCAATTCGGGAGTTTACTATTGGCTGTGGTTACTTCCAAAATCGCGGGAGCATTAAATATTTGAGGTGTTAAATAGGCCTCGCCCTAGCCAAGGGGAAGGACATGTCATATACAAGCTTCTGTCCTGAAACTGCAAGGCAACCTTGCTGCCTATGAGGCACTGAATGACGCTTCTTCACTCCGTGGGCCAATGTGCGCCGTGAGCTTTCAAGGCAAAGGTTTGCCTACGTAAAGCTCCTATAACACCTATAATTGCGAAGAGAAAATTCTACCCCACTGAGCCGCGCATTTGAACCCGCGAACACAGACTTGGTAGATAGCAATTCCTCCCTATGCGGGCGAATCATCTTTGGTCGACGACGATGCATTCAAGATCATGGTGGAACGAAATCATTTTTTGACAACAACAACAATTGCGGAAAGGTTTGCTTCAGCTCAACAAACTAGGATTTTGTTTTATTCCAAAAAAGGGACCTATTATTAATGTTATCACGTAAAGAACTTTAAATACTTTTTCTCTTTATTTTGTTTTTGTTTTCTTCATACAAAAATTTTGCAATTAAAAAGGTATTTCAACTTTTCGTTCAGTATATGCAAAAGAAAGAAGGAAACAATGAATTTAAACGTTAGCTAAGCAAATATATCAGTAATAAATTAATTGAGAAAAGAAAACAAGAACGGAAAACATAACAAACAAATCTGTATTTTTAAGAAGAAAAAAAACACTAAAAGAACACAAAATGGGAAGAAACTGTAAATTTATATTATTTCTCTAAAAAAACAAAAAAAAAAACGCGCTAAAGTTAATTTAATGAATCTAGGCGGTAAAGATATTAATGTGTGGGAGTATGTGTGTTTGGGCTTTTTTTTTGTGAACAAAGATACATTGAAGGTTACAAACGGATGTTATGATGAAATTTCTTTTCTTTTTTTTTTCGTATAAATGAATTAATTTTATCGGTTATTATTATTATTATCTCTTCTAACAGAGAGAGAGAGAGAGAGAGAGAGAGAGTGTGTGTGTGTGTGTGTGTATGTGAGAGCGAGAGAGAGAGATCAACACATATATGATATGCATAGTAAAGATGGTGTATAATTTGTGCTTATATGTAAGCAAATGTAATTGAGAATAACTGCTGGATAGGGAATGCTCTACATATTATATACATATACATTTGAAGAGAAAATGTTAAGCGCTGAGGGAACTTACCATTTTAATGTCACTAATCGTCATGATACTGCGTACAAAAAGATTGATTCTGACTATAGCGGGACCATCTGTGTATGTAGTTGTAATGTATTCGGTTTGTGTCACAATTTATTTTTTTTTTTTTTCATTTTTTTCATTTTTTTTTTTTTAATAAATATACATTAAATGCTTATTGAAATTTTCTAAAATGAACTGAAATTTTTTTTCTGCTATGAATATATGAAAGGTAATGAGGATATATGATGACGAAAGGAACTTTACTGCTCTATATATATATATGTATATATATATGAATATATATTAAAATGCATAAGAATTTGAAGGCAATTTACGTATGTATTTACTACAAATAGAGTGAATAAACATTTAGTATTAATTAAATGAAGAGTTCAGTAAAATCCATTTCCAACACAAATGGATGGTTTAGTGGGATTTTTGATAAATTTGTTTTGTTTTGTTGTTTGCTTTAAATTAACTAATTTAATTATATGAATTAAATAAATTAAATATTATTAATATAATTAAATTTATCGTTTGTTTTTTTTGTTTATTATTTTCCTATAATTTTATAGTTAACTAAATTCGTAATAATTTTAACCAATGTGTACAAAATTTGTGCTTTTCTTTCGAATTTTCAATCATATTTGATAATACAAATAAACTTATAATTTATATGAAATTTTATATAATCGAAATAAAAACAACAACAAAATAAATAAATCATTAAATAAACGAATCAGTTAATCAGTTTTTATTCACAAGCAAAATAATAAAAAAAATTTTTAAATACAGTGGAACGTCGCTTAAAGAGCCGCGCTTTGTAGCCATAAGCATTGGGCAAGCGAATAAATCAACGGTTCGCTTAAGGCTTCCTCTATAATTTCGCTTAATGATTCGTAGGCGTATGGTTTTTATTTGAAATTCGCTTGATGCTTAAATTAACTTTAGATTAAAGGTTAAATTAAAGTTACGGGTAATCTTTCAAATTCCCTGCCTGCTTTCTCCCTAATTTCGCTTGGTGATCCGCATGCGTTTTCACATGAAATGAAAATGAAGTGAAGTCCATTCAAATCTATCCTTAAGCTTTCGCTAAATGTTCCGTTTATAGGTTGGTTTCAAAATACACTTTTCTTTTTTTCATCATCTCCCTCAAAAGCTCATCCAAGATTGCCTTTAAAGCTACACTTATCATTCGCTTACATTTCCTGCTAAAGTTTCGCTTGATGTTCTATCCATGGTGTCGCTTAAAATTCGCTAAATTCTTCATTTTTACATTCGAGTAAACTTTCATTTAAAGTTTCATGTAATGTTTCGCCTATTGTTCCTGCTGTGAATTAAACGATAACATGACTGCTAGCAGGCTGCACTGTTAATGCAACTGTTCGCGGCGCATTTGCTTACACAAAATATCGGCTGCTTTCGGCTCATACAAACACAATGCAATATATCAACAACAATCTCCACATAGCCTAAGTAAGTTTAAAGTAGTTATAAGTTGTCTCTTTCTCGCTTATATACATTTTGGTATCATTTTGTTAATGTTGAAGATATTATGCGAATGTTTATTAAAAAATAATTCAAATTCACGAGTCATTAAATATGAAGAAATAATAATAATAAAAAAAAATTAAACAAAAAGGACTACTTAACGACTATGCAACTTTAGACTTTACCCGCTGACTTCCACTTAACGAGTAATGCTTGTTTCCTCGGTTTCGCTATCACGTCGCTTTGTCCGTTTTACTCTTCGGCTAGCCATCTACTCTTTACATTCGCATATATGCGTGTTGTACTAATTGCTTTAGCAAGCACAAACATGTATCATTAGTCATGGATTTTTCGATCACCTCAACTTTATTACGCTTACTGCCACCTTATTACATATTCTTGGAATGTTCTTATTGCCTTTTCCAACCGCCTTATGAATTCTTGCATAGAAGTATTATTATAAATTTATGAAAATTGCCGCCACGAAGTTTCCATTTATTGTTCCACTTCAGAACTCTTTTAACCCTGCACTAAGTGTTCACTTCAATTTTCGGTTAAAGTCCCGTTTACTGTTTCGCTTAGTGTTCCGCTATTCACACTATGCTTGATATAAGGTTTACTTAAGCTTCCCTCCAAAGTTCGCTTAAAAATTCACTTGAGACTTCACTTAAAACATTTCGCTTAAAGTTCTCTTTACAGTTTTACCAAATGTTTAGCTTAGTAATCCGTTTTCGATTTCGTTTAAAACTCTTAACATTCTACTTTACAGCTAGCCGTACTTTTTAGGTCTGGCTATCTCACGACTTGCGCGACAATCACCTCTTAGAACTTTCGATTATGGAGATCTAGTTTCTGTCTCTTTCAACAACACCGCTACAAAAATTTGTTTTAATTTGTTTTAAGAAAATCAATCCCGCCTTAGAGGACATATTCATGTCATCTAATGAAGAATAAAGGCACGGGGGAGAGGCCTTACTAGAAGACATTTGAGCTCTTTTTAGGGAAATCTTACACCAGAAAGTGCTTTTTTTTTGGATTAGAGGGAAACCTTCCCAAAAGTTAAACTCCTTTTGTTCTCGTAATTCTTGCTTGGCAGATCAGCAACTTTAGCGAGACTTTAGAACGCAAAGCTTTGATATCCCTCTAATATCATCGTAAAGCATTGATCTCCGCCACAAATACTTCTGGAGGAGGGTTTGGTTTTATGTAGTTGATGCTGACAAGTTCCCCTTACTTAAAGAGTACGATAAGCTGTAGACATATATATATGTAGCAATATAATATATATTATATTGCTTAGCGTATCTTTGCTTCTCATCAATAACAGATATAAATACATGTTTTCACCTGGAACTAATGTTGATCTCTAAAGAAGAAATGCAAACTCGTCACTTTTAAGTCTTATAGCTCTTGTACGCTAAGCACATACTAGCCCCTGTGGTACTTACTAACTTAGACCAATCTTTTATTATACCAATCAATATGGAATTTCTTTCTTAATTGATTTAAGTTTGCCCGTCCGTCTGTCGTTCTGTTTTACTTTCTTGTATTCAATTTACAAGATCCACCTATTATTATACAGATCGGTTCAACAACACTAGATGAATTGCGATGAGCACCTATTATTATACAGATCGGTTCAATATCGTTGTCTGAATCGCGTTGAGCTCATCGGTTTGTCCGTTTGTTGTTTGTTACTTGTTCAACCGCTTCCCACATAACGCCTTGCTTTGAAAGGTCATTAATGGTGGTTAGTTAATGGCGGAGGTTTGAAAGAAAAAACGGAAAGTGTTATCGTATCTTACGTTAGTCTAGAGAAGGAAATTGTTTTTTGCGCTCCTTATACGAGGTTCCACTATATAAGTAATGTTGAAATGAGAAATTGAAAATAAAAATCATAAATTTTTTTTTTTTTTTTCTTATACCAATTAGAATTTAATGCTTATAAACTTCATAGAAGATATATATATGTGTACATTTATTTATATATAAAAATGATTCTTACCCGTTCCATTGATGCCGGATGGTCGAATACGGGCATCGTATTTGCCTGCACCTAAAATTTGATCTAAGACTTTTTTCTCCTTTTCTCGGAAATTTATTTTGGCATTATTAGCTCTGAAATTATGATATGTACGAACGCATAATATTGCATAAGTAAAAATTAATTCAATTTTTAAATTTCTTCAATGTTTTTTTTTTTTTTTGGTTTCGTTTTTTTTTTTTTTTTTTTTTAAAAAATTAAATATATTTTAAGATGGGTTTTTTTTTTTTTTTTTTTTTTGGCATAAGTTAACAAAAAAAAAAAAGAGACGAATTTCAAATAATATAATTCGATGGTTATAGGTACACGTATGTTATGCTAATATACAATAACATGTACATAGTTTAATTTGTTCATTTCGATATTATACAGCCGCACTTATCATAAATTTTGAAAGAGCAAATCTTCGATATTTTAGCAAAGATATGCTCTTTCTTCTTATTTATTTTTTTTTTTTTTCAATTTCAATTATCACAATATGCAATAATTCCAAAATGTCTTGTCCGACAAAAATTAAAAAACCATTTATTAAAAATCATGTATTAAAGTTAAATTAAAATATATAAAAGGCATTCATTCTTTAATTTATTTGATCTGTACAAAAGGATTAATTTTTTTTGGTTAATTTTTGTACTTACAGAGACGCACTGCATAAACTGGCAAAATAGAATAAAGCCCAAAAGTAATGACCGGTGCCCATGTTTTGGCTGCGAATGTTTGTCGTGTTTTTATATTTTGGATTGCAGTTGATGATTGGCGCTTCTGAAATAGAAAGGTGAAAGCATATAAAATCTAAAACTTATAATCGCTTTAGGGCGAGTACTTAATACGCCAGGAGCTTCTTTTGTTTATTTTTTTTTTGACTAAAGACTTATTGAGCCTATTATAAATACATAGCTAAAAGTTGTAGCTTATTGCTTATTGTGTTCGAACTATGCCTCGTTATATCTTTTATTCAGACTCTTTTTTTGTATCGATTTAATCATACCTGTCCGTCGGTCAATGTAATGTACATCCATGTAGTTGTTCAATCTATAGGTGCCAATGTTAAAAAAGATTTTTGGTTAAAATAAGTATCCTTATGTGTTTCGGTTCTTGAATAAACTCTGTTAACAATGGACGAGATTGGATTATTTCCTCCCACATAACACCTTTCTTGGACAAGGACGTTATATAAAAAAAATTGCATATTCAAAAATTGTTGAGTAGTAGCATGTCAGGCTTTCTAAGTTATTGCGTCGGAGGGGATAATTTTTTGAACTGACTCCTCTATAAACTTCCGCAGGAAATATAAGCATTTATATAGCAAAATAGTGTAACTCTTCATATCTTACATCGAACATTAGTCCAAAATTATAGTTTGATACAAAAATCAACTATATCAAATTTGGATCATTTAGGTCAACAGAGCCCGGACGAGGCTTCTAATAAAAAGTAAACTTTTATATAATAAAAATTTCTTTTATTTTTAATAATTTATCATAAAAATGTAGCTGATGTTGCATGGGTCTCTTTTTCGGGCTCCATCCCGTATAAAGGCACTCAAGGAAACGAAGCTTCTCTATGGCAATAAAGTTCAATTTTTAGTAAGCTCTGACAAAAACAGAAATTATATGGTATGTACTCTTAAAGTGTTTGATAACAAGAATAATTTTGCTATTTTTAGATCAAGTCATCTTCGCGCCCTCCTCCATCTAAGACGGCTTTCATTAAAACTATGCCCATAGAATAGAATAAGAGCAAATGTCAGCATTTCATCACCAAACAAAATAGAGTGCTGTGTTAGATGAAATGGTGCGGTGTATCTATTTGTTGGTATTGCCAGATTTTAATATTCTTCCTGATCTGTGGACAACAAAACTATTTATATATATATATATATATATACGTTAAGTTTTTATCTTTTATGACAACTTTTCATGAGCTTGAGATAACGAAAAGTCTTTTTAAAATTATATCTTAGCTTAGAGCCAGCTTTTTCCCCCAATTATGCGGATTGCCAAACTTGGAAAAATGATAGGCAGGCTAAGTTATGGAGGACATTGTTAAGTCAACTCAAGGTCTTGCTTTTCGCTAAAGTTAGTATACCTTGCAAGAATTTAAATAAAAATTGTTCGCCGGCTACCGGGTTACTTGCCAATGCCTTTTGTTTGATTGGATTCTTACTCAAATAAGTTTTGTCTTTTACCGATTGCTGGAGGAAGAAAAGGCTAAGTTCAGCTTTTCTTAAACTTTATAAATGCAAAGATTTGTTGCAGATTTTCAATTGTGTCATTAAGGTAAGAAGCTTGCTTATCGTTATAATTATATAATGTTCATGCGTCTTTTTATGTTCAAACGTTAACACTGTCATCTTGTTAACTTGCATATAAGCGTTTTTTCTCATATGGAATAGAGCTTTTCAGGCTCTTTTTACAATCTTGATTCCGTACCAGTATATCAACATTGGTACTATTTTATCCCTTTTATTATAAGATCAATTACCAGCGGGAAGCCGCGTATGGACGTAATACGATGACTGTCGGAGAGAAGTGCGAAAAGAGAGAGGGAGGCAGAGAAGTGTGTGTGTGTGCTTAATCAGTCACAATGGTTACGATCAAAATAAACGCCAACGCATTAAGACTTGAACCCGCAAACATAGACTTTGTAGAAGTGATTTTTTCCTATTCGGCTATTAAACTTGTAAACCTCCAACATTCCCTTAGTATGTTGTTCCTCAGTTAAGAATTTTACACGGATGGACTTAAAAATCTATTGCGATTTGCTCGACGTATTTCCCCACCGAAGCTTACAATAATTTTGTAACTTATATGCAATTACGATAATCTGATTTAGGATTCAAAAGCAAAAGCAAGCCACTATCTTCCATTTCAACGTCTACTGTAAATTTGCCTCCGCCATACTTGTTTCCTTCTCGTCTAAAGTCAGTTCACTAAGTTCTTTACCTACACTACATTACGGCCCACACTACGGGGCTAACTTATGTTAAACTTACCATGTTTCACATAAATTAACTCTAAAATGCTTAAAGTAAACGTAGGATCACCTAATTTCAGATAAGCCGTAAAACCAGCCAGAAAACAGTCGGTCCCAACTTGTGGTATTTTGAAATGACTTCGATTTAATTTACCTCACACCTTTGATCAAAAGCAAAACTTCGACTTGAAGGAGAAACAAAGCAAGAGTGCATTAATTTAGCAACAAAACAGATTAAAGATTAAAAGAACAAAATGCAAAAGCAAAAAAATAAAAAAAAAGTTGAGAAGTTAAGTTCGTTAGAAAGTGTACAGAAAGAGTTTGCAAATCAATGTCTTAGGGGAAATGTACCCTTTTCTTTGCCTTAGTTGATAAGAATTATTAGTGAAATAAAATAGCAATCATTTTCACTTCGTTGAAATTTACGTTTTTTCTTTTCCATTTTTATTTTTCTTTTTTTTTTTTTTTGTGTGCTATTGTTATAAAAGAGAATTTTCTTATCCATATCAAAATTGCCCTATATATATATATATGTATATATATTTATATATATACATGTATATATTTGTATATCTGAATTGTAAAAAGAAATTAATTCACTCTCGAGACATTAAGGCATTACCGCCCAAATTGAAATAACCTTCACCTCCTTTGGAAATCTTGCGTACTCACACGTAACGCAATAGGGCCAGCATTAACAAACGGATATGTATGATTTCTTTTTTCTTCTTTTTTTCTTTTTTTCTTTTTTTTTCTATGTTGATGCTTAAATAGAAAATGTACACACACGCACATGTCTGCATAAAACTGTAATTGTGCTTATGTATATGCTTCGTTTTTTTACACTCTTCGCTCTCTCCCTCAAAGTTCACAATTCTCTCTTATATCGTTTATTTCGAAGCATCTCTCAAACTGAAAAACAAATACTCAACGAAAAAAAAAAAAGCGGTCAAAAAGTACACTATTATAAATTTCCGACGAAATAGAATGCGCACATAAGTATACAAACATATAAACACATATACATACACACACGCGTGCACACACATGACATACGCAGTTACGGTTATGTCTAATGCACATAACCATAAACAAATGTAGAAAATATTTTTTTTTATTTATTTATTTTTTATTATTTTTTTTTTTTGTATATTTTTCCACTCTTTCTCACAGTTTCTCCATATGTTGTTGGTGTTGATGGTGAGGGAGGAATGCGAATACATTATGGCATTAAAAATTTAAACGAGTGCAATTTGTTTGACTGTAAAAGGTCGATTCTGTTTAAGGCTAACCACAAAATGCACACATACACACACATGCACAAACACACTTTTGCATGAAATGTATATATGAATATATGAAAATATATATATATATATATGCATGTATATTCACTCACATATATTTTCCTTTGGAGCAAAAAGTATTTTGTAAACGCATAACAACGAAAACAACAACCACGAAGTGTGCATTTAAGATGGACGTTATGACATTAAGGGAACAGTGATTTCGCCAAAAAAATAAATAAATAAAACGCTCATAACTGAATTTATTAGCTTACTAGAGGCTCTGACACTGCCTCAAAAATGTGAAAAAGCATTAGAAGTCACAAGTTATTCACTTCCTTATCAGCTTTTCACTCCAAAGCGAAAACAACTATATATGTTCATCTTTAAAATTTCGATAAGAGAAACGGATAATATCGCGTAATTTTTCTAAATTTATTTTAAAACAATCACAAATATTATATTTAATTGTGTCTAAAGGGCTTTGTTCTCATCATCTTCCATTCGCGTTCATTCACTGACTTTTTCCGACACAAAATTGAATTCAACAACATGCAATGTTTTTACCGGCGATGTCTTAATATTTGCAACCAGTGGAATGTTTACCACAGACAGGAAAGTTAAAGAGAGCAACAGAGGAACAAAAGCATAGACGAAAAGGCGGAATGCAACGCGGAGGGACAGGCAAACAAAACTATACCGAAAAAGCCGAACAAAATTATAATGGCGATCCAAGGACATATACAGTATCGACGAACAGAGAGTGAGACGAACGGAAGCACAGTGGGACAAACGAGCAATGACACGGAGAGACAAACAAGCAAACACATAAGGGAAGAGGCAAATGGAGAAAAAGACGGACATACGAAAAGAGAGAAAGAAGAGTAGAGAAACTGAATGACAAATGGAAAAAGAAACAGACGAACATTGATATAAAGAAGCGGTCGCATAGGGATGCAGAAAGACAGACGCAAAGGGAAATAGAGCACCAAACGCAACAAGAGACAGACGAACAGGTATATAGAGCGGCGGACGTAGGCAGAGACAGAGGGACAGCCAAACAGAGAAGAACACGAACAGAGAAGCTCACAGAAGCACAAACGAAAATAGAGAGAAACGAGCAAGAGCATAAAGAAGCGGACGTATAGGGTGACAAAAGGGACAAAGAGGTAGACGAACATAGAAACAGGGAAACAGCTCGACAGACGAAAAAATAGACAGACTGACAGACCCATAGAGAAGCGGACGTATTGGGAGGCAGAGGGACAGACGAACGGGGAAACCGAACGGCACTCAAAAAAAGAGACAAACACGAATAGAGTGACACACGAAAGGGTATATAGAGAGAAAGAGGACCAGACGAGCAAGAAATCGAACGAACAGCATCGGGCGCGAGCATATACAGAAGAATAGAGAGTCACAAAAGCAAACGAACCGTTATAGCAACGATGAACAGAGAGAAAGGGAGGAGGATAGATGAACAGAGAGAAAGGGAGGAGG